AATGTAAGGCAAATATGTTCTTCCCCTGTGTAAAACCTCCCAAAAGCTCCCATTAAAAAAAAAAAAAGTTAGCGGGGAGCTGGGCATGGTGGCTCATGCCTGTAATCCCAGCACTTTGGGAGGCCAAGGTGGGTGGATCACTTGAGGTCAGGAGTTCGAGACTAGCCTGGCCAACATGGCGAAACCCCATCTCTACTAAAAACACTAGCCAGAAATTGCTCGGACCCAGAGATTGCAGCGAGCTGAGATCATGCCTCTCGGCACTCCAGCCTGGGCAATACAGCAAACCTCTGTCAAAAAAAAAAAAAAAAAAAAAAAAAAAAAAAGCCATATTCCTTCCATGGCTTTCAAGACCCTGCCTATGCTTTGGCCTGAGCCCTTGCTGTCCTCATCTCTTGAAGCTGCAGCTTCCTGTAAGTCACGTTTGTGCTCCCCCAAGGCCCTGTGGACTTGCCCTGGGCACTCCCTGGAATGAGCTTCCCACAGAACTCATCTCACCAGGCCCTAGAGAGGCTCCCATCCACACTCATCCTTCCCTACCCCCTTCACTCCATCATTAGCCCTGTTTCCCTTCACACCACTTATTAGGATCTGAGAGAAATTAATTAGCCCATGCATTTTTAAAAACTCTGTCTCTCTCCATTTTGAATAGAAAACACATTTCAAGAGAACATATTCTCTTGCTCACTAACACATCTCCAGAGCCTAAAACATTACCCGGCTAACAGAATGAACATATTTGGTAAAAATCTGTGAATAAATTAACAGGATCGCTCAAAGCCATCTTTGTCTTTTAAAGTTCTTGACATCTTAATCATGTTAAAATGTAAGAAAAAATGTAAAGTCTTTTCATACTTTCTATAGCACTTGATAAAGCAAAATGTTAGGCCCTAAAAAGGTATAAAATAACAAAAAATAAAATCAAAAGGGTCAGTCGGGCGCAGTGGCTCGTGCCTGTAATCCCAGCACTTTGGGAGGCTGAGGCAGGCAGATCACAAGGCCAAGAGATCAAGAGCATCCTGGCCAACATGGTGAAACTCCGTCTCTACTAAAATACAAAAAATTAGCCTGGTGTGATGGTGCACACCTATAGTCTCAGCTACTCAGGAGGCTGAGGCAGGCAGAATCCCTTGAATCTGGGAGGTGGAGGTTGCAGTGAGTCGAGTCTGTGCCATGGCACTCCAGCCCAGAATCAGAGCGAGACTCCATCTCAGAAAAAAAAAAAAAAAAAGTGGCTCACGCCTGTAATCCCAGCACTTTGGGAGGCCAAGGCAGGTGGATCACGAGGTTAGGAGTTCAAGACCTGACTGGCCAACATGGTGAAACCCCGTCTCTACTAAAACAAACAAAAATTCGCTGGGCATGGTGGTTCATGTCTATAATCCCAGCTACTTGGGAGGCTGAGGTAGGAGAATTACTTGAACCGGGACCTAGGAGGTGGAGGTTGCAGTGAGCCAAGATTGCGCCGCTGCACTCCAACCTGGGCTACAGAGCAAGACTCCATCTCAAAAAAAAAAAAAAAAAGAAGAAGAAGAAAAGAATCAGAAGGGTTGAGTAAAGTAGGCTAATGGATAAACTGCATCAGTGAAGAGACCCAAACTAAAGTAATGGCATACATATGTGGAGAGATGAGAAGGAGAGGAGTGGGAGGTGGGAGAGAGGATCCTTACCAGGGAAGGGAATAAAGTCAGGCCTTGGGGGGGAGAAAGGTTGCCAGTTATGACCTTATTCCCACAGCATGTTCTGTCTCGAAGGGCAACTGAGCTCAAGAGGATTGTTAGTTAGAAATGTTCCCAACAGCTATTTTCTGGAAATCAGCAAAGAGACTAATTATCGAAAATTTCTCTCCCCATAGATAAGCACATTCTTCCCCATCCCTCATGGACACCCCAGTCCTCAGTATCATTATATCATCACCCTCTCCGCGTTTTCAAGAAACTCCTTGACTACCCATCCAGTAAACGTACAGTTGTGTTGCTGAGCTGTGATTTCAGTACAGGACATAACAATTCATACAAAAGAATCTTTCATTGTTGTCTTTGTTTTCTGTTCATTTTGAGGGAGCAGTAGAGAGGTCGTACAGAGCCAATGAATAAAGGAAGACAAACTGCAATCATATCAAATTGAAGGAAAGAAATTCCCGATTCTGAGGAAATGCCCTCACACAACATGAAGGGATTTGATTTCTTTGTTGTCGGCTTTTCACGTGTGACGCCACACCAGGCTGCTCTCCAAAATAAGATGATGGGGAAGAGTTTCTAGTCTCCAACACAAGGATGGAGCGAGGTGAGGTATAAGAAACAACCAGGTCAGTTGATTTAAAAAAAAGAGAGAGTGGAAGAAATAGTATTACCCTGTTCTTTTCTGTTTATCCCATTCTACATTTATTGACTGGTAAGACTGTTCACTTCTGGGCTTTAAGGGAGGAATATGAAGGTAACTTGGGAACAGTTTCAATCAAAAAGCTAGTGCTAGACATGGCTCATGTGTACTATATTAATTATAGCTCTTACTTGCCAAATCAATATATCTTCTAGAACTGAGCTGTATAACATTTAACACACCATCATCCCGGAGTTCCACCGCCGTAATAACACAGACTTCTCATAGAAGAGAAGGGAGGAAAACATTTAAATTATCCAATTTTTCCCATAAGAGAAAAAGATCTACCTAGTAGTGATTAGCTGCCATGTCATTTTTTTTTTTTTTTTTTTTTTTTTTTGAGACGGAGTTTCGCTCTTGTTACCCAGGCTGGAGTGCAATGGCGCGATCTCGGCTCACCGCAACCTCCGCCTCCCGGGTTCAGGCAATTCTCCTGCCTCAGCCTCCTGAGTAGCTGGGATTACAGGCACGTGCCACCATGCCCAGCTAATTTTTTTTTTGTATTTTTTTTAGTAGAGACGGGGTTTCACCATGTTGACCAGGATAGTCTCGATCTCTCGACCTCGTGATCCACCCGCCTCAGCCTCCCAAAGTGCTGGGATTACAGGCTTGAGCCACCGCGCCCGGCCGCCATGTCATTTTTTTAAAAAAAATTGCAGCAGGAAAAATGTAAACAAATCTCAGGAAGGGAACTTCACAAGTCACAGCACAACCTGGGGAATTTTCTTTCAAATGGGAAGCATCAAGAATCATGAAGATCTCTGAATATTTTAGGTGATTTATTTTCCTAATACTAAAGGGAGATCGAGGAAGACTGTAGGATGTAATGGGTAAAAAAGAGGAAGCAAAGTCAACAGGCAGATATAGATACCTTATTATTTATTATCGTATCTTGACCTCAGCCGGGGCTCATTTTCATTGTATTTCAAAACTCATCATTATTTCATTCCTATATACTGAAGGCGGCTGAGAATAGAGCACACTTGGCAGCAACAAAACAAAGTAACTAACCCATATGATTAAAAACCACAGCCCAGCGCGGTGGCTCACACATGTAATCTCAGCACTTTGGGAGGCCATGCTGGGCAGATCACGAGGTCAAGAGTTCGAGACCAGCCTGACCAATATGGTGAAACCACGTCTCTACTAAAAACACAATTAGCAGGGCATGGTGGTGTGCACCTGTAAAATCAGCTACTCAGGAGGCTGAGGCAGGAGAATCACTTGAACCCAAGTGGCAGAGGTTGCAGTGAGCTGAGATCACACCACTGCACTCCAGCCTGGGTGACAGAGCAAGACTCCATCTCAAAAAAGGCAAAAGAAAACCCATTATCCTCAAATAAAACTCCTGGACTCTGCACAAGTGAACCAACCTTCAATGAGAATTTCATACATGTGAAATCCTACACATCTGGGTTTAGAGGCCTACTCATCCCAACCAACGCCACACAGATACCACATACCTGAGACTGATTAGCAATTCTCTGCCTTGCCAGTGAGAATCCAGCTGTGCTCATATACGTTATGAAATATGAATATGCCTGATGAATTACTGTTCCACAGTATGAACTCTCTTGGTGAATGGGAGCTGGGGATAAAGCAGGCAATGCTACTTCATGTCCGTACTTCACACATACATGACTTAGGAATGCACCCAACAGCATTGCAGGACCCATGGAAACCTGCGGCCCACTGGGAGGAATAACTGTGCCCCGTGGAGCTGCTTCTGAAGGAATGCCTATGACCAGCAAAGTCATAAATACTGACTCAGAGTCACTTCAGAATCGTCGCTGATTACAGGGTCTTGAAGACGTATTTGTACCTCGTGTTTAGAGCAGCATTATTTATTTGTACCTGATGTTCACAGCAGCATTATAGCAAAAGGTGGAAACAATGCAAGTGTCCATTGATGGATAAACGGACACACAAAATGTGGCATATACATACAATGGACTATTACACAGCCTTAAAAAGGAAGGAAATTCTGACACATGCTACAATATGGATGAACATTGAGGACGTTATGCAATGTGAAATAAGCCAGCCACAAAAAGGACAAACACTGTATGATTCCACTTACGTGAACTGCCTAGCGTGGTCAAATTCATAGAGACAGAAGGGCAATTGTGGCTGCCAGGAGCTTGGAGAAATTGGAGAGTGGGGAGTGATGTTCAACGGGTACAGGGTTTGTTCTGGATGATGAAAAGGGTTCTAAAGATGGATGGTGGTGATGGTGATTGCACAATGACGTCAATGTATTCGACGCCACTAAACAGTACACTTAAAAATGGTTACAGTGGTAAATTTTGTTACCTATGTTTTACCACAATTAAAAATAATTTAGAAATCCATTTTTTTTAAATAATCACTGATTACAGCAGGCTAGAGAACTCTTAAGTGCCCATCTGGTAAGAAAAGAAGGTTTGGCAAATGTACTTAATACTCTAGTTTAAAAAAAACTATACAAACAGACATACTAAGCTATTGAACAGCTAAGGGGAAAAAAATGCTTGCATCACATGTTGTTTTTAAATTACAGGGTAACTGGGCAGACACACATCGTAGTTGCTATTTCAACAGCAAATCTGCCACACAGAGAAGTGGATTCTCCTACTTACATCAAACGAAGCTGCATTCGTCTGGGCATTCTGATTACATGGTTCCCTGAAGCAATCACTAAAAGGAAGGAGAAGCCCCATGGCAATGATCCGTGAGCAAAACTTCTCTGCTTCTTCTGGAGGCCCGTTCTCCTGCTGGCTGAACAGCTTCTCCAACAGCGTTCGCCCTGCAGATGAAACACAGTCATTAAGAGGGAGCACTGCTGATCACCTGGCTCTGAACTCTCCAGGGGACAGTGGCTGGGTAAACACTGCCAGGGAGAAACGCCGTTTCCAAGACTACTGACAGCGCAGAAAGGAGCCTCTCAAGCTAGGAGAAAGCTCTATAGTCTGTGGCCAGAGTTGCCACATTAAAAAACTGCAGATCTGGTTTGCTCTCTCATCCCCTAAATACCTCCTGCCTCAAAACAGAACAGGCCAAGTTATGGGCTATACAGCTTCTGTTTAAGATTTTTAATTGAGATAGGGTCTCGATAAGTTGCCCACGCTGGCCTTGAACTCTTGGGCTCAAGCGATCCCCCCACCTCAGCCTCCTGAGTGGCTAAGATTATAGGCATAAGCCACCATGCCCAGCTCACTTTTTTTTTTTCCTTAATAGAGATGGGGATCTCATTATGTTGGCCAAGCTTACCTCAAATTCCTGGGCACAAGCCATCCTCCTGCCTCAGCCTCCCAAGTAGCTAGAGCTATTGACACATACCACCTCACTCAGCTCTCTCTTGGATTTAATTGGTAAATCCAATTTTGGATTTAAATTTGGATCCAAGACCAGACATAGTGGCTCACGCCTGTAATCTCATCACTTTGGGATGCTGAGGCAGGCAGATCACCTGAGGTCAGGAGTTCAAGAACAGCCTGGCCAACATGGGGAAACTCTGTCTCTAATAAAATAAAATAAAAATTGGCTGGGTGTGGTGGTTCATGCCTGTAATCCCAGCATTTTGGGAGGCTGAGGCAGGTGGATCACCTGAGGTCAGGGTTTGAGACTAGCCTGGCCAACATGGCAAAACCCCATCTCTATTAAAAATACAAAAATTAGCCGGGTGTGGTGGCAGGCGCCTGTAATCCCAGCTACTTGGGAGGCTGAGGCAGGAGAATCGCTTGAACCCAGGAGGTGGAAGCTGCAGTGAGCCGAGATAGTGCCATTGCATTCTAGCCTGGGAGACAAGAGCGAAACTCAATCTAAAAAAGAAAAAAAAATTAACCGCATGGTGGTGGGTGCCTGTAATCCCAGCTACTCAGGAGGCTGAGACTGGAAAATCACTTGAACCCGTGAGGCAAAGGTTGCAGTAAGCCAAGACTTGCGCCATTGCACTCCAGCCTGGGCAACAAGAGTGAAACCCTGTCTCAAAAAATAATAAATAAATAAATTTGGATCCAAAAGGCTAAACTCTTTTAATTTAATTGCAGATGGCTTTCAAAGGAAGCAGTTACTAACCCAACATGCCACCATTTAGACTCAGAAATGTCGGTGACTGACATTCACAGTCTTAATCATGGCAATGGGGAGGGGACAGAGAATGAAGAGACAAAGAGGCAGGCAAAGGCACCAACCCCCAAGAGGTGAAGAGAGCTGGCCAGCAGCAAAACAGAAATAAGTCACCCAGAAAAGAGATAAAAATTCACATTTCTCTCAGATGCTTCTCAGAAATACAACTCTAGCATAGGTCCAAATTTAAGGGCCCCTTTCCCCTCTATTTCCCTAAAAAAAGGCAAGAGAGGCATCATAAGAAGACCCCAGCTGAGGGTCTAGGCTGAGGATCTAGAGGGCCTGGGTCCACCTGGCCCGGGGGTTCTCAATCTTGACTGAAACTGAGGATCGCTTAGATAGAACAAAATTGCTGGAAGCCAGGCTCACACATCAGTTTTCTACTGGTCGCCAGTTGGTTCTAATGTTAGTCAGAGTTCAGAGCCATGGATACGGGCCTTAATTGATTTCTGACACTACTAGCTCTTTTTTGTTGTTTTTGAGATGGAATCTCATTCTGTTGCCCAGGCTAGAGTGCAGTGGCCTGATCGATCTCAGCTCACTACAACCTCTGCCTCCCAGGTTCAAGTGATTCTCCTGCTTCAGCCTCCTGAGTAACTGGGACTACAGGCATATGCCACCACGGCCAGCTAATATTTTTTTTGGTATTTTTAGTAGAGACGAGGTTTCACCATATTGGTCAGACTGGTCTTGAACTTCTGAACTCAAATGATCTGCCTGCCTCGGCCTCCTGAAGTGCTGGGATTACAGGAGTGAAACGCCACGCCTGGCCTCGGTCTTTAACTTTAAAACATTTATGCAGCTTGTTTTGCATTCATCAACTTTCATCAAAGGAAATGGAAAATCTCTAGGGTCCCTTCCAGGGCCACAGTTGTCCCTCCCTCTAATTAGCAAATTTAGATCTTCTGTTATCTTCAAATTTAGATCAACTGTTATCCAGAAAAGTCTTCAGTGATCCCCTTCCATGCTCTTTTGGAACCCTTCACGGCTTCTTTGTGTAATTGATTATTTTGACTAATTAGTTACACAGTCACTTGTTTAATGTTGACCTTCCTCACTGAAATATACACTTCCTGAGGGCCAGCATCTATCTTGCAAACCTGGGCACTTGCACATGAAAAGCATCAATCAATGTTTTTAGGATTTCTGAATAAATACAATGCTACAATTCTGTGACAGTTTCATTCACGTCATAGTCAGAACTGGAAATGATGTATCAGCCTATACCATCAAACTTCTTATGTAAAGAGCCACATGGTAAGTATTTCAGGCTTCATGAGCCATGTAAGGTCTCTGTCGCATTTTTTTTCACTGGTTTAATTTTGTTTTGAGCAACTTTGAACATGTAAAAACCATTCTTAGCTCCGGGCTGTGCAAAAGCAGGCCAAGTTTATACTTCAGTTGCAATAACTACATTTCAAATGTATAAATGTTCAATTCTGTCAGGATACTAGTCGAGTAATTTTTATGCCTCTTCCTGTTTCTCTCTGTAAAACAAAACTAATCTTAAAAGTTGCCTTTGATATTTCAAGTGACAAAGCAGGACACAAGAGGTCTATTTTCTCCATTGCTTCTGGTCATTAGAGAACATTCTTTGGTCTCTCAGGATTTTTTTTTATGGGAAAATAAAGAACTTTCCCCCTACAGAACTTCAGTGTGTCTGCATCTAACTGGAACTCAATACCTAGGAAATGGCATCCTTCAATTCTCAAGAGATTATCATAACAGTATATTGTTGTATTCCTCTTACCGAACTACTGGAAATAGCCCTAAAACTAATATTTTTTCCTGCCACTCAGATAATATATATGACAAAAAAGTAGGGGCAGCAGGATCTTGCATGTGTGTGACTGAGGGGAAACGTGTCTGTGCATATCAAGCCAAAACTTATCAAAGGGGTTCCGGAACGGTGTGGAAGAGAGAGGATGACGATCTGCTGGGACTCCACTTCCATGAGAAGCACACGCCCCTGCACCCTTAATCAAGGGTTTCTCTACCTTCACCCTATGGACACCCTGGGCCTGATGTTTCAGTGTTCTGGGGTAGTGGGGGGAAATTATCCTGTGCTTTGAGCAGCATCCCTGGCCACTCTTACTGGATGGCAGTAGTACAGCCACCTCGCCCCCAGCTGTAACAGTCGAAAATATCTTCAGATATTGCCAATGTCTCCCGGGGCAAGGGGGCAAAAATATTCCCAGGCTGAGATCCCCAGGCCTAACCTCTCTCTAAAGAAACTTCACCTCCATCTTTAACAGTCACCTGGCTTCCCGCTGAGGGTCTCCTCATACTGCAATCGTCTTGGTGGAGGCATTTTAAGTCAAATCCCTCACATTTGAGGGACAAAACGTGGGTAAACTCCTTAATCCCCATGAGTACTTCCAAATGATTCGTTCTCCTTCAAAACCACGAGCTTTCTGGAAACTCCTGCCACTGGTCAGCTTCTACTACCCCTCCTTCTTTCTGCCACCCACTAACCTCTAGTTATTCTGTCCCCTCGCCATCCACTAAATAACTCACCTCCGGCCTCACTGACCTGCGTTCCACCTGCACTCCTATCATTCTCAGTGATTCTGACAACCGCACGGAGGGCAAACTAATGCTCAGGTGGATACCTCGCCCGAGACCTTCATCCCCTCGCCTCCTAGCTAACGTTTTCTCCACCACAAATTAGCCACCCATTCCCATGTCACAGCCTCAAATTGGTCACTATCAGGAACTGCACCACCTCCAGAAGATCAGTTCCAAAGTTTACTCCAAACTCTCCAGTGGCTTCCCATCGCCCTCAGAGTAAAACCAAACCCTTCACTGTGGAGTCCTGATAGGTAAGTTAGCAACAACGAGGAAAAGGGGTCCCAGGTGGGGGAGAACAATTGTTCTGAGAGATGGCTAACCACAAACAACCCGCTGGCACAATATCCTGTGCCCAAATACCCCACTCTGCACGGAGCCCCAGCAGCATCACTGTATTTGCAGGTACCCCCACAAGCAGGACCCGATCAAACTTCCTTCCAGCACCTGCCTCTTGGCACACAGCCCCTTCTCTGCTGTGCTACCCATGGCTTCCTTGCAACGTACTTACTCTCTAATAAACTTGCACTCTTTACGTCATTGCTATTTCAGTACATGATTGTATAACCCAAGGCAAGAGCCTGAATCAGTCACAACCCCCGCAGCACTCCCCAGATGCAGGAGCCACCTCCCTGCCTCCCAGCTGTCCCCACTCTTGCCTACTGGCCTCCTCCTCGAACACACTGAGCTCACTCTCACCGTGAAGCCTTTTGCACTAGAACATTCTTCCCTCACTCCCTCATGTCATTCAGGTCTCCGGCCGACGGTCACTTCCACCGAGAGAACCTTCTCTAACACCCTTTCTGAAGCAGCGCACCCCATTACTCTCGTGTCCATTATCCACTTGATTCTTCAGAGCGCGTAGTCCTCGAGTTTACCTACGTCTGTGATGTCTCCTACTCCTGGCGTAAACTTCATTCAGCAGTCCCTGTTCTTTGTTTACCACCTTTTATTCAGGACCTCAAGGAGTAGCTGGCAAAGAGGGGATAATCAATTAACGTTTTAATCATCAACGAACCTATGCGCAAATGCCTGAATGGAACATCGAACTCCTGACCACCACCTTCTACCTTTAGGAGACCTTCTACCTCCATCGACCACGCTGACCTT